CATTTTCTATTTGATTCTCCACTATTAGGTAATATCCTTATACGGTCCCAAAATAATCCCCAATCCCAAGCCATAAACCCTAAGCCCTAAACCCCAAACCCTGGACTTGGCCAGTTCACATGGCAATGCTGATGGTGGCTTGGATCAGCAAGACGCTATGGCCCTGGCTGGCGTAACGACGGGGCTGGCAAATGACGTGGCTGTTGGCGCGGGTGGCTGCGTCGGTGGTGGCTGCCTTGGTGGTGTGGGGTCAGCTGGCTCGTCGGCTGCGGATGACATCACCATGGACCCAGTTCTCGCGCCAGAAGATGGTGAGACGTGATCGGCCAGAGCTTTGGAGCGTTGGGCCAGGGAAGGGCACCTCTACTAGTTTGCTGCACTATGCGTCTTCGCTGTCAGAGCAATGCTGGTGCTGGTGGTCAAGTTTGTTGCTCATTGGTGACTCCTGAGGGTGGTTAGTGCTGTGCGCCTGCCGAACTGGCGTTTTTTCTTGCTGCGGAAAGAGGCGCTGCAAAAAAAACAAAACCTAAGCCCTAAACCCCAAACCCTAAACCCCCCTAAACCCTAACCCGAAATCCCAAACCCTAAGCCCTAAGCCCCTAAACCGTAAACCGTAAACCCTAAGCCCGAAATCCCAAACCCTAAGCCCTAAGCCCCTAAACCGTAAACCCTAAGCCCGAAACCCCCAACCCTAAACCCCAAACCCTAAGCCCCTAAACCGTACACCCTCAGCCCTAAACCCTAAACCCTAGCCCTAACCCTAAACCCTTAAACCCTACTCTAAGCCCTAGACCCTAAACCAGGGAGGGGATTATATAGGGGACAATTAAAGGGAATATTAAGGGGGATACTAGGAGTTTAGACTAGCTCACATGAGGTGCCTGGAAATGGCAAAGCTGCCGGGACTCCTCGAGGCTGTGGCAGAAGATGCCGGCTGGGCGGAGACCGCTGCCATGGCCTCGTGAGGGAAGATTTGGGGAGTAGGGCTTTAGGGGTTGGCGTGTTAAGGTTTAGGGCTTTAGGGCTTTCGGGCTTTAGGGTTTGGGGTTTTAAAGTTTAGGGTTTGAGGGTTTTAGGGACTAGGGTTTGAGGGTGTAGGGTTCAAGTACTTTAGGGTTTAGCTTTTGCGGGTTTCGCATTCAAGGTTTCCGTGAGTAAGGGGACCCCACTATCCACCGCCATATACGCTACTCCTCATTATGGGGACCTCCCAAAAAAGACCCCCGGCTTTTGGAATCCCCATTCAGAGAGCAAGGCTCAAGCTTTAGGAGGGCATTTGTTCTCATCACGAAGGTGGACTGGAGCCATGAAGCTGGTATTACAAGGGAGCCTCCCAACTCTGACAAAACTCTACTTCATATGAGCTATGGTCTCAACTCCTTAAAGGGGGTTACGTAGGGGATTACGTAGGGCAGTATTCTGGGGGTTAGTCAGGGGGATACTAGGATATTAGACTGTAGCCCATATGATGACTGATGTGAACCTTTGGATACATTCACTCACCGGTTGAACAGTTTCCTTCTAGTTCACTGACTATGCTTACAAAGAATGTAGGTATTGCAACATTTGAATGGGAGCCCGAAATATGCGCCCCAAATGCCGGGGGTTTCCCAAAATTAAGGGTACCTTTTCGGGGCTGCCCAAAAAGGGATGACAGTGTTTTTGAGTCTATATTGGGGTCTACTTAGGACAACGACCATTTCCCAAATCTGTCCCTCTTCCTCAAGCGGACGCTGCAGCACACTCTTTGAGGTGGTATGCTTGCCTTATGCAGGTGAATTTTCGGGAGACATACAGTTGATCCCTTTCCCTATTTGGTGCATTGTAAAGTATACACTGACAGGAGATGACCGAAGAGGAGCTTTACGAAATCGATGAGGATCTGTAGAAACGATTAATTACCAAAGTCTGCATATAGACATGCAACTTAAGAAGCATCTTGGAGTTTCCCACCCAATCTTGAGCTTCAAACGGCCGGCACAGTACCACATAGGCGGGGCGGTGATTTTCTTTCTCTGCCTCCGGACTGCAACTGAAGCTACAATCTGATTCTTCCATCTCAACCCGTTCCTGCCTGATGTTGTTCCCTGAACCGGAAGCCTAATATACTATAGAAGTTTCCATTTTCTTTTCCATTATTCCAATAGAACCCCTATATATACCCTATAATCCCTATATAAACCCTATATAACCCCATAATCCCTGTAGTTTCCATTTTTCTTTTCATTATTCCAACCCCTATATATACCCGAATATACAGAAACTTGGCCCAGGTGAAGCTGATTCGATGTGAACTTGGGGTCGGCGACAGATCGCGCTTGTGACCCATGAGACAACAAAGTGCACTTCTGCCAGCAGGAAACCAAACGTTTAGTTAGAGTCCCCTTAAGTAGATAGAATATGGCTTTGAGTATATTACAATAAGATCCCCCTATACCCCAGATTCTATCTACTTAAGGGGGACTATAGATGTGATGCTGATTCGTGTTGACTTTCCCCAAGTCTCACAGAGAGAGCACAAAGTTGCTGGTATTCAGAAGCCTCCAAGCAAGGTCCCATGTAAGCCTCCAATGGCAGCTATGTGACCCTGTGCAGGAGCACCTCGAAAGCTCACGCACGTCAACCTCCAATCCCCAAGTCAACATGGGTTGGGTTCTATCTGCTCTGTCAAGGGTAGCAATACCACTATCCATGGACATGACTTAAGAATGGCAAGGAATTCGTGAAGGCGCTTGCAACGGAGTCCACGTGCTGTCCATTGAAGTAAGGCTAGGCTTACGAATGACACTGGCAAGCGACAGTAGAAGTAGCAGAGCTAGAAACATAGATGGTTGGAGAACTAGAGCCATTTTCTCCCGAAAGTAACGTGTCCACCTTAAATTAGATCTATCCGGCCTTTTCATTTTATTTTGTTGTCAAGCGCCGTCCACGTCTACTATTCATTTCCGCCATTTTGAGAGGCTCCACAAAATTAAGTCCAATATTTCTTCACACACACCCCAATGATGTCATTCCAGCAATCCCTTTTGAAGGGTCCAGAATTTAGCAGAGCCCCATTCGCCTGCGACCCATTGAGCCAGGCAGAAACTGAGCTTTCTGAAGTTCATGGGGCTGGCTCTTCCGGCCGCCTTGTCGGCAGGCTGAGGGGGGTCTGCAAAAATGGGGAGCTCTTAGGGTGTGTGGGTGGGTACAGCCTCTCAGGGAGTAGATAAGCCTTAAACTCCCAACCTTTAACCCATGCCAGTTGGTTTAAACCCTAACCTAAATTCCTAGGATCCCCTTAATAAGCCCTATAACACTCCCCTATATGATCCCCTATAGAACCCCCTTTTAGGAAGCAAAAATAAAGAGAAAGCTGCTGCTAAGATTGTGGGTCGCCTACCCTTCTGGCCTGTGCTCAGCATCCTCTAGTTGCTACTCATATTTAGTTATTTGCTATGGTCTAAACTCCTTCAAATGGTTTGTAGGGGGTATGTACCGGAGTAGGCCTTACTAAGGGGGATACTACGTAGGAGTTTTTACACCATGGCGCATATTTGCTCGTAGTGTTTGGTAGTGCTGTTGTTATTTGTTCTGATGTATTTCATCTCTTGTTTACTCTGTATGAATGAGCTCTCTGTTGTGTTCTTGCTGTGCTCTACAAGATTAGTTCCACTTGTTGTTCTTCCTCTTAACCCTTAACCCTAAACCCTTGTTCTACTAACCACAGTCAGTACATGTAATTTGCACCATCCCCTGACTGTTAGTGAAAAGCATACTCCAGGACCTTGAGGAGATAGTACATTCTCAGGTGTTAATGTGAGCTATAGTCGAAACTCCTAGTATCCCCCTTAATGACCCCTATAATATTACCCTATAAAATCCCTATTTTCTCAACAACGGTACATTTTGCAAATGCCTAACACTAGAGTCACCATGCTGTTGGCAAGACGCAGTGTACAAGGTCCGTATGGCAAGACGTATTATTTGCGGCAGTGATCTTCTGATTTTTTGGCTATGGCAGTTTCTGTTCTTCTTGATACTCTGAATGTTGTGCTAGTAGCAGCTGCTTTGTACTGCCCACCTTGTTGCTGTACTTTGTGGCACCTGCGAGACCCCAGCCTTCCAGCGGCACGCGTGGAGGAGCTGTGCAGGCGCTGCGATTTTGCACAGGGCCACTGGCTTTGAGAGATGAGGGTTCATCATAATCCGCTAAACCCGCCCCACCCCCTGATATTAAATATTCCCCATTGTCGTATATCATATAGATAGATATATATATATATAGTATATTGGGATTGTTCCATATTAGGAGTGGGGGTTTTAATATTAGGGCAAGGGATTAGGCCCCTCGTAACCGTGCGATGAAAGTCCCCAAAGCATGCGTAGGGGCCGTATGGTCCCACTTGTTCCATTGCTCACCCTGTGCGCATCCTGCTCCTCTAACTTGTGGGTATCTTATGCCCCCAATGCAGAGCAGCACCGGCAAACAAATCATAGCAGTATAGTCCCCCTTAAGTAGATAGAATATGGCTTATATGCGGATCTTATTATAACCTTCCCAAAGCCATTTTCTACCTACTTAAAGGGGACCACAACCCCAATATATACCTTCCCTATAGAACCCCAATATATATATACCCTATTACAAACGATATTCTATAATTACGCAACCCCAATATATAGAGTGTGGTACGCCGTGGTGGCGTGTATTTCCCGTGAAAACACGCATTTTTTAGGGGTTTTTAGTATCTGGAGTGTGTTACGCCCTGGGGGCCAATCTTTCTCGTTCTCCTGCTCTTGCCTTGGGGAGCTTCCTGTGAGACTCCCAAGAGCCTCTCTTGCATATTTCCTATTTTCTAACGCATGCTTAATATCATGAATGCGAGGATACTAACTTTCAAGTAAGATACTTGAAAGGGTAACCCTT